TCCAACCAGACAGAACACATGTTCTCCAATGACAACCAGAGATGTGCGGGCGAGGGACATAGTAAATAGTCATTGATGCAACTTCTAACTCAGTGTCCTTGTGCCACAGTGAGTTACCATGTACGGTGTGATCATAAAGGGATATTTGTATATGGATAACCCAAACAAAAGTTTTAGGGGAAAAAAAACAGCTGAACTCTGAAGTACACTCACTCAGTATTTAACATTTTTTTGCTGCAACATTCTTTTTAAACTCCTGTTTGTAATCCACCAAATTTTATTTTGACACCCACCATCTGAAAAACAGTACTCCAAAATAAGCTGGAGTCAGAATTCTGTAGCTGTAGCCAGGCTGTCTCCACATGTCACAAGAAGAAAAATTACTGAACTTGGCATTAGAAACACTGAGTCCAAGTTGAGGCTCTGAGGTTGGTTAAATGTGAACAATGACACAAATCTGGCTGCCGCTGGCCTTCAGTTTCCCCATCTATAAAACAAGGACAATGCCACTATTGCCTCCCAAAATTATCAAAGAAAAGTGTTTAAAATTTTCCAAATGTAAAAATTACGGAAAGAGATGACGGAAGTACTTTGATTATCTGTGTTAGTCATGATGACAGAAAAGAGGAGCAGCCCCCAAGGATGAGATCAAAACCAAAGGTGGGGGCTGGTATTTCCCAGCATTCCGAGACCATTGGCCCCAGACCTCCAGCAGGAGAGAGGCTGAGTTGGACAGTCCCCAGGTTGTTCGGTTGGAATCATAGAGCCCACGGGGGCATGGACTTTAGGGGCAGATGGCGAAGAAATGAGGCGAGGAAAATGTTGAGCTGGTGGAAACGCGGTGCCACAGAGGTAGGAGGCATCTTGATCCATCAGAGTCGAGGAAGATGGGAATTTGCCGACCACAGCCCCGACCTTGAACTCAACTTGAACCTTTCTTAGCTGAGTGGTCATGAGCTTTGAGGAGGCTCGGTTCCCATGCCTGAAAATTTGGACACATTCTTACATATAATATAATTATATAATAAATATGTAGTTTAATTTATATCCATATAATTACATATTACATAATGTAAAATATACAATTATATGCTTACATATATATAATTAGCATTGCTCTAAAGATGAGAGACAATCTGATAAAGCAGCTAGCGCACTGCTTGGTATAAAGCAGGAGTGAAGTAAGTAACAGCAGGCAGGTTGCTACCATGTTACCTATGTAAGGTGCAGGCTTTATATAAGGAAAAAAATCACCTCCTTCAGAGGCAGGCGTGAAAGGTCCTGCTGGGCTGGGAGGTCTCCCTCCTCCGTGTGCTGTGGTAGCTGATGGTGGGATTTCACTCAGTGCTAAACACAGGCACTCCGGGGCCCCCGTTGGGCAAGCAGTTCAGGTTGGGTGGGACAGTTGCAACAGAGAGTGACATGTGCCTGTGAAGAGGTTGATGTCAGGACCACCTGAGGGTTTTTCACCTGTCCCAGTCTATCCAGGGCCTAGAGGCCCACAAAAGAATTTTAGGGATGCAGGTCTATGTGTAGCTTTGAAAAGACTTCCTAGATGATTTCCATCCACTTCTCCCACCACCCTATAAAGATCCCAGGCTTTGGCATGGAGCCACACTTTGGGCCAACCAACCCAATGGATGGATGAAGGAGAGTGGTCCTTGGTCCTCGGTCCTCCTGCGTCAGAATCACTCAGTGTATATAAATGCAGGCAGATTCCTGGGCCTCTTATACCTACCGAATCCCATTCAAGGATGGAGCCCAGGAACCCATGTGTTTACCAGGTGATTCTGATGTACAAGTCAAGCTCATGCAGCCTTCGTTGACTGACCAGGTTCGGAAAGGGTTATGCAATGAGGCAAGCGCTAGACCACGGGACTCAGGGTGGGTAGGGAGGGGAGGAAGTGAAAGAAGAGCCAGACATTAGGAGCTGAGAGTCTTATAGAGTCCTGCCGGCAATGACAGTGTCTGTCACCCTGAAGGCTAAAGAACGGCCTCCGGGAGACATATTGTTTCTGCGGGGTTCTGACTGCTCCGGGACACTCCAGCTGCTCCGCCCAGGCCCCTGGATTAAGGACCCCTGCGAAGGTTTGGTTAGGTGCCTTCTCTCATTTTCTCTGGCAGAGAAGCTAGCTTTGGGGAACATGTATATTGCCACGGGGAGGGAGCTGGATAAAGGGCAGAGGGAAGGAAGCCCGGCCTCCCGCCTCCCAGAGCCCAGCAATGAGCCCCGCAGAGGGTTCTCAGTTGTTTGCAGCTAAGTCGACATCCTCCCTCATTTTCTGCTCATTAGGCTGGACTCACTGTTGAGTCCTCCAGCAGGAGGGTCAAAGGGGAGAGAAAGAACATGGGTTTGAGCAGCAAACCCATGTCCTGCATGATGCCACATCCCTTCCAGGTGTCTGAGCACGCAGTGCTCACACAAGCCCGAACATGCAGTTAGCATTGTTATCCCGCTCAACCGAGCTGCGAGGCACTGGCAGGCGGGGCGGGGCAGGGTGGGGCAGGGGGTGGGGTGGGCAGGGGAGGCGGGGTGGGGGGGGGGGACTGCCCTGGCCTTGACCTGGTGTAGCCCGGAAATGCACTTAGGAAACTGGTCCTCAGGGGTGAGGTTTGACTTTCTTCCCCTTCCTTTCCCAAGACCTACTATGTGTCAGGTACTCTTCTAGACACTAGGGACAGAGCAGGGATCCAAACAGACACAAAGCCCTGCCCTCCTGCTTACAGTCAAACGAGGCATGTACTTGTTTTCTGCTTGACTTTCCCAACTAAGTCCAGTTGGGTGACAGAATTAGAACAGTAAGGAGATGACAAAATTGATAATCCTGGGGACTGTTAGCAGCCCAGGAAACATGGGCATAGTCCCACATCTCTGAGATGCACAGAGAAGGTGGCAGCTTGCAGTCAGTGAACAATCCATCATCAGCATAGATGGAGACGACTTTCTAGATGTAGAGTCCCAGATGCCACCCCATTGAGACTACCCTTGGAAAGATGGCCAAGACTCAGGTTGCCTCCCCAGGACAGCCTTTTCTTATATCAATATCACTCACAATGAAAGAAGGCCTCAGCAAACCCCAGCAGCACTTCAGGGAGAAGGTACATTCCATGCATTCTTGTCTGAAGGCAGAGGTGGAGGGGAGCCAACCCCAGATGTTCTTGGCAAAATTTTCATATTTGTCAGCACTGTTCACAGTTGCCATCATTCCCAATGAAGATTTCCATGGTCTCAGCATTGTTTCAAGGGTTTTGTTGACATAAACGAAAGCAGTGTCTACCTTATTTAACTAAAGAGAGGAACTACGCAGCTCTCTGAGACCACCTTGTGAAAGAGTAGGGTGGGCAGCAGCCGTGGTGTGACCCAGAAGATCCTCCCTGCCTCCATAGCCCCGAGCAAAGTTTCTCCCCCTGGATACCTGGAATTCCACCCGTGTGATTTGCTCCCCTGAAGTGACTCATCTTCCTTCTGTCCGGCCCGCCTTCAAACTGTGGCTGCCCCTGGAAGCTCTATGTACTAAGCCGTAATCTTTCTTGTGAGCGTGTTCATAAGGACACCTCCTTCTTCTGTCACCGTGGGGAAAGACTGCCTTCAGGTTAGTGCCAGCAGCCGAGGAAGAAGGGCCGCCAGAACAAGGCTGAGAGGAGCAGTCAAAATGACCCCAACGGAGCCTGAAGGGGCTGAATTCAAACCTGGATCATGTGGTTTGAAGCCATCAGTTGGGTTTCTTGGATCTCCCGTGTACTCACCTGGGAATTTGGGGACACAAAATGTTTTACAGTTATTATTAGGACTTAATGAGATACTATGCAGAAAAGCATTCTACTCACAGCAAGTTAGTTTCTTTTTCTTTTTTTAAATTTTTTATTGGATTTTTTCTGTTACCATTTATCCCCCCCCATACCCTCTTCCATAGTTTCTTTCTTATAAATTATCTCAGAGTACTTTCCCAAGAGCACCAAAAATGGGCAAGCTTTACATAGCTCGATCTAAGATATGAAGGAATAAGAGTGAATTTTCCAGTGTACATTGTCCACATGAAAAAGCAAAAAGCTTTCAGATATAACCACCATAAAATGGGGATTTCTGTTTTGTTTTTCTGTGCAGTGACAAAGGAGGTCCTCCATTGAAATTTTTGTCTGATGCTTGAATTTCAAACAATTTTATTTCTGAGTTAGGGAAAAAGTATGAATTACTAATTAGCTACCTGCCCCATTGAGTGAGAAACTGTTGACTAGCAGAAGAAATGAGCCCAGTCATAAATAAAAATGAAATAACAGTCTAAGAAATGACGACTTCCACTCCCACGGCAGAGTTAGCACCAGTATGGGAAGGGGATATCGGGGCGGGGGGTCACGGGTTGCGATATGGCAAAGATGGCCAGTCTGATCATTATCCAGTTTAATTTTCTACCTGAAGAATTATAAATTCGCAAAAGATTGAAGACATCTAACGAAAATATCTTGGATGTCTGTTATGTGTCAATTATAATACTAAGCAAGAGAAAGTCTGAAGGAGAGATACATGTGTAAATAAATACATGCCATTCAGTGTGTTAAAGATTTCAAGGCCACAGTGCAAAATAGAATGGGCAAAGAATAGAACGCTTAATCAACTCAATCTGTTCTTTTGGGTGTGACCTCCTAGAAATAAATACCTTGCCTACCACAAGTACACCAATAACTCAACAGCCAATGTCTTGCTTACTTTCAAACATTCATTGGCCCATTGTTTACCCTTTATTACCACATTTGTGATGGAGATCACTGAAGTGAGACTCTACTCCAGCAGTAATGAGCAAGAAGTTCACTGACAACGGTGGGTTTGACTGGTTCACCTATGTTCTATGTGAGAGCAGTTATTCATCACACCTTTCCATTTCAGCTGCGGATGGATGGAACTTTCATAAAAACAATTAGAAATAATTGGTTTTTCATTAATTCCAGGATGCCAAAAAGAGTAAACGTCAGTTAATGTTGGCTTTGTTTCCATTTCATTAGCCATGGCTTGTTCCCAAATTTCTCTGAGCCGTTCCTGGATTTATCCCACCACCATCCTCTGCTTATTTGGGTTTTTCTCCATGATGAGACCTTCAGAACCCTTCCTTTTCCCGTATTTATCTGGACCAGATAAAAACTTGACCAGTGCAGAGGTAAGTTAATATCCATACATGTCTCTTTTTTTAATTTTTAAATCATGTTTATTCTATTACAGTTGTCTCAATATTCCCCCCTCTGCCCTCTTCCACCATCCTACACACCGCCTCCTCCACCCCACCCCCACAGTCAACTCCCACCCTTCTCCATCCCCATGGGTCCTTCACACATGTTCTTTGTCTAGTCCCTTCCCCTTCTTTCCACCATTGTCCTCTTTCCCCAACCCCCCCGGTTACTTTCAGCCTGCTCCATCTCTCCATGCCTGTGGTTTATTTTGTTTTTAGTTTATTTTGTTGAACAGAGTCCACTTATAGATGAGATCATATGGTATTTGTCTTTCACCAGCTGCCTTATTTCACTTAACATAATATTCTCCAGTTCTATCCATGTTGTTGCAAAAGATAGGAGTTCCTTCTTTCCTTTTTTTTCTTAAATGCAGATTGATTTTATTTACTTCTTTTTTAAATGTCAAAATCCATTATAAAATATTAAAAACTTAAATCCATTATAAAGCCTTAGCAATTAAAACAACATGACACCAGCACAGAAATAATCAAGTAGATCAATGAAATAAAATGAGCATTCTAGAAACAAACATATGTATTGGCTAACAATGTAATGTATGATTAAACTGATATTTCAAATCAATGGGGAAAATAAGGCTTATTCAACAAATAAGGTACATGAACCACTGTTACTTGAAATAAAACTAGTATAGAGCCCTATTTCAACATTATACAAAAAATATTCAGCTGAGTTAAAAATCAATATGTAAAATCTAAGGAGTTTTAGGAGAAAATACAAACTAATATTTTTCTTACCCTGAAGTAAAATATTCAAACCCAGAAGCTATAAAGTAAAATACTGACAATATGACTACATTAAACATTTAAGACTACATATTAATATACATGTAAAAAAGTTAAAGAATAAATAATAGAATAGGAAAGTATTTGCAACACATCTAAAAAAGTGTTAACAGTTTGGGGTTTTTTTTTAGGAAAAATATTCTACAAACATTTAGTCAAAAAATGGATAAAGAATACCAAAAAGACATTTAAAGGTTTTAAAAATAATAGAAATAAGCAAGAAATATACAAAAACAGATTTAGTTTCAACAAATAATAAAGTAACAAAGTAACACATCATTGTCACAATCAGATTAATAAGTATTAAGAATATTGGTGACTGTGAAAAGAACTGGGTATTCATAGACTCTGTCTTCATCTTCCTAAAGCAGTCCCTTTAGCATATCTTGCAGTGCTGGTTTGGAGGAGTTGTATTCTTTTAGCTTTCTTTTATCTGGGAAACTCCTTATTTTGCCTTCCATTTTAATTGAGAGCCTTGTTGGGTAGAGCAGTCTTGGTCGCAGGCCTTTGCTTTTCATGACTTGGAATATTTCTTGCCATTCCCTTCTGGCTTGCAGTGTTTCTGTTGAGAAGTCAGCTGCTAGCCATATCTGGGCTCCCTTATATGTTACTACCTGTTTCTCCCTTGCTGCCTTTAGGATTCTCTCTTTGTCTTTGATATTTGCCATTTTAATGATGATGTGTCTTGGAGTGGGCCTCACTGGATTCCTCTTGAATGAGACCCTCTGTGCTTCCTGGGGTTGTGTGACTTTTTCTCTCCTCCAATTAGGGAAGTTTTCCATCATTACTTTTTCAAACATGTTCTCTATCCCTTGCTCCTCTTCTTCTCCTTCTCGTATCCCTATTATATGGATAGTATTATGTTTCAGGTTATCCTGCATTTCCCTGAATGCCTCTCCACTCTTTCTGAGTCTTTTTTTCATTTTTTTGCTCCTTCTAGGAGCTTTTTTCTATCTTATCCTCCAGCTCACTGATTCATCCCTCTGCTTCATCAAGCCTGCTTTTGATTCCTTCTACTGTGTTCTTCAATTCATAAGTTGTATTCGTCATTTCCTTTTGCCTCTTATTGATAGCTTGTATGTCCTTTTCCATACTGATAAATTTTGCAGTAAGTTCCTCAGAGTTTCCCTTTAGCTTTTTGTAATTCTCTCTGAGCTCACTGAGCTCATTTGAGCTTCCTTAGAACCATTGTTTTGAACTCAATATCTGATAGTTTACTTGCCTCTATTTCATTTAGTTCTCTTTCTGGGGATTCCTCCTTTCCCTTTGATTGGGGGAGGTTTCTTCATCTTCCCATTATTTGTGAGACTCTTCTTTTTTGTTTCTGCTTCTTAAATTAATCTGTCTTGATTCCCTGACTTTGTGGTGTGAACTTCTATGGTAGGAGACCCTTTCTGAATCTGCCTCTGATGATGTCAGCTGTTGACCCAGTCTGACCTAAGGCAGTGTGTTCAAGACTTCCAGGAATCTCTTGTCTGTGGCTGTCTCCTTCAGTTATTAATCTAGTCACTCTGCATTCAGCTGTCAGGCTTAGACATGACAGCGGGGGCAGAGTCCCTCTTGGGGATGGGGTTATTGGGTCCTCTCACACTGCTGCCGCTCAGGGGAATGGTCTGCCTGAGCCAGATGGCTGCTGCTGTATGGGGGATGAGTCAGCACTGGGATCCCACCAGCTCCTCTCCCAGTTCTCTCCCAAAAGCCTCCATCTCCAGGCTCTCCTTAAGTGCCTCTAGACCACTCTGTGCCCCCTTTAGCCAGGGATCTACTATCTGTGGCTGCCACTCTGCACTCAGCAGTCAGGCTTAGACACCACAGTGGGGGCCAATTCCCTCTTAGGGGTAGGGCTATTTTCCCTTCTCATGCTATTGCTGTTCAGAGGAGTGGTCTGCCTGAGCAAGATGGCTGCTGCCACATGGGGGATGAGTCAGCACCAGGACCCTGCCGGCTACTCTCCCAGTTCTCTCCCCAAAGCCTCCTTAGCCAGTCTCTCCTCAGGCGTCTCCAGCCCACTCTGCCCCCACCTTTGCCGGAGACCAGGATAAGTGGCTGCAAATAAAAATTTATGTGTTGGCCCTTTAAAAGGCTCTGCATCTCCAGCCACCTGTCTCCAGCAAAGAGCAATCCTGCTGCTTTTCACAGCTGGCTGTTATCTGTGTTTTTTTAGGCTCTGGCACTGTAGGCTGGAGATCCCTGCTTATGGTTTAGACTGAGCTCTTCTCAGGGGGATCCAACTGGCCATTTCCATGTCTTTCTGGTGCTGCCACCATGGGCACCCCCCCTGCCTTCTTGAGTCTCTACTGCACTCCTTACCAATCAGGTTGTGCTGAAGCTGATTCTTCTGTCTCTCTGAGGTTATAAGGCTCCTCTCTCACTATTGTCCAGTTGTTTGTTACAGGTGATCTCTCCACAATTTAGTTAATTCCAGATTGGTCCTGGGAGGAGGTCAGTGTGACCTCTATTCACTCCTCTGCCATCTTGCTTTCTCTCCATACATGTCTTAATGTGGTTTACTTGTACAGGACTTGAACAAGGACAGAGACAGAGCTTCATTCAACTTAAAATAAGATTAATACAATGACTTCAATGACTCTCGTCCTCACAGTAGTTTTTATTTAATAGAACTGTTCAAACTACTCTTTCTTCCTCATACTTGCAAAAATGGGAAACCAAAATGCATTACAGGTGTAATAAATACTTTAACTTTTATAGCATTCTAACATTAGTCTTACTCCTGGGAACCTTTCAGGTCTTCATTGATTCTATGATACTGAGTTCTCCATTGACTCTATTATGCTAATCCTGAAATAAAATCTCTGCCAAGCACTACATCTAGTCCTAGCAAACTTCCAGGCTGGTGATGCATAAGCAGACTTTACTAAAGAATTGTTGCATTTCTTTATGACACTTACTCAGTTTTGAAAAACTATCTACCAGCATTATCTACCGCAGAAGACCAAATTCTCTTACTTAAAAGATCCACCTCTTTTTTTTGTTTGTTTATAACATGTACAACAGAAAATGCTATGACCCAACTGGGGAATGACTCTGGGCTAGTTTTAAAATCTCCAGCCAAAGCTATGAAAACACTGCAGAGGCAGTGGCTTCACTGGGAAGATGAATTGACACTGATTTCCTTGGTGACACAGTGGCAAGGACAGAGAGGAGAACTTGTGCTGTGGTGTATAACCACTTAGGGACAATTGCATTTCAAAGATTTCCAGATAGAAGAATGTCATGATTAAGGCAAAAGAAATGACAGACACAGGCTCAGAATCAACCAGTGCACCTCCTGGGGTCTGCTTCTGCGACCATGATGGACCAGTTAATGTATACGTCTTCCAAAGCACAGCTCAGTTACACTAGCCTTTCAAATCACTGAATTTTCCATTATCATTGGCATTTAAACCCACAAAGATTTTTGTAAAAAGCAGAAAGGATAGAGCAAAGGCTGACATGACTGAGATGCTCCTGTACCCATCATGACCCCAAAGTCAACAGTTTCTTCACTCCTTTCGCTCTATGAATGAATCTTGAGGTCCCCTGCATTTCTCACTAAATCCATGAGATAACCCATATTAAATGGAGGCCAGAACTGAGACAATTCAGTATAATTGGAAGAAAGGGAGTTGGAGGACCCAGCAAATTTGACCAGAAAAAATGTAAAATGCATTACTATTTCCCACTCCATAATTCTGCAAGGTTATTTCCTCTTTGATCTTCATGTATATATTTATCCAGACTTTAGAAGGGCTAACATTTTTGACATAGTGATAAATCAAATAAAGGTCACCAGATTGTTTTAGCATTGTAGCCTTTTTATCTAATGTTAATCCTTGACCAAGAAGGGAATGTTTTTTTTTCTTTTCTTTCTTTCTTTCTTTTTTTTTTTTTTTTGAGCCTGAAAGAAACCAGAAGTGTTTGTTGAGTAAATTTTAACTGACTTGCTCAAATGTGTACATTTTCTGAACATAATATAGTTCAGATTGTACATATATTCCCCTACTAGGATACGTGCAAGTATATGATTCTTTTTGCAGGACAAGGGAAGCTCTGTTTTCCTAGTGGCTTCTTGACAATCCTTTTTCTATAGTCCTCTTTCATAAGCTGAAGAATATCCTATCAGATTGGATGCAAACTGATAATGTGCAAGTGACGTGTGCCTTAGCATGTACATAGCTGAGAAAGGTGCTTCTTTCATTTCCATGGTCCCATGACTCCTTTTCCACCTTCACAGATAACCAATGAGATCTTTCCTGTGTGGACATACTCTTACCTGGTGCTGCTGCTCCCCGTATTCATCCTCACCGATTTTGTCCGCTACAAGCCGGTCATCATCCTGCAGGGCATCAGCTATATCATTACCTGGCTGCTGCTCTTGTTCAGCCGCAGCGTGCAAGCCATGCAGGTGGTGGAGTTCTTCTACGGATTAGTCACCGCCACCGAGGTGGCCTACTTCGCCTATATCTACAGCATGGTCAGCCCAGAGCACTACCAGAGAGTGAGCGGCTACTGCAGGGCTATCACGCTGGTGGCCTACACGGCAGCCTCAGTGCTGGCCCAAGTCTTGGTGTCCCTGGCCAAAATATCGTACTTTCACCTCAACGTCATCTCCTTAGTCTCTGTCTCCGTAGCTTTTCTTTTCTCACTTTTTCTACCAATGCCCAGAAAAAGCATGTTTTTTCATGCAAAACCCAGCAGAGAAGTCCAGAAGCCATCAAGTACAACTGCAGTGGTAGATGAGTCACCCAAGGGCGAAGCACCCCACTGCAACACAGAGAAACCCGCTTCGGAAATGGCCACCGCTTCGGGGAACTGCGAGGATGGGCAGTTGAACGGCCCAAAGCCAGAAAACATCGCTGTGAGAGTTTTTGTGCAGTGGTTCCAAGATTTGAAGGAGTGCTACTCCTCCAAGCATCTTTTTTACTGGTCCCTGTGGTGGGCTCTTTCCACGGCAGGTTTTAACCAGGTTTTGAACTACGTTCAAATCCTGTGGGACTACAAGGCACCGTCCCAAAATTCTTCCATCTATAATGGGGCTGTAGAAGCTATCGCAACCTTTGGAGGTAAGTACATATTGATTGGTCTTCCTTTGATGGGTTAACCCCATTAAATTCATTTTTCCATTTGCTCAGCTCCCCCGTGGTAGTAAACTAGCTCTGTCCAGAGGGCATATTAATCTTCCCTAGAATTGGAAGGTACTGGGAGAAGAAAAGAGGAACATGGCGCTTCTATTTTATGTGTCATAGTTGCAACAAGTAACCAAACAATTAAATTGTAGCCAAATTCCTAAGATTTAGTTTCATCATCAGGAAAAGTGCTAACAATGCCCTCTGTTCTTCTAGAGTTGTTCTTAATGCCAAAAGGCAAGTACACATCTTGAATATAAGTAGGAGTTGTTCTTATTTTAGAAAATGAGCTGAACTATTGAGGCTTCTGAATTATCACTGGAAGAGTTTTGCTTAACAAAGAATTTGGTTTAACTAGCACCCACCTTTCTAAGCTGTACACCAAAAATGTTCCAAAGTCACTTTCTTATCAGGTTTAAATTAGGGGTAGAAGACATGTGCGAGTCAGGATTCTAGTATCAGTAGGGACTCTGCCTTTGAACTTCGCTCTACAATAAATATTTATATTCTGGTAAATGGAAACTTAAATGTCAAGTAAGACTTTGAAGATATTTTCTAGGAAGTAGGAGATCTCCACACCCTCATTTACAATAATTTTCAGAAAACTCATGTGGTGTCTGTTTATTTTTGTTCCCCCTTTGGGAGACTCCAGTTTAGCTCCTGGAAACCAGCACTGTGCTGGGAGGCTGCGCTGAAATCATCTACTCTGTCCGAAATCTAAGAGGAAGAGCGGCTTTCTGTTTCTTTGGGAGCCATGGTTCTTTCTTAGATCAAATGTGAAAAAGTTCATTAATCAAATGTCAGTAATTTGAAACATAAATACCTACTTACAGTCAATTATTCAACCTCTTAAATTCTATAAATTGGTATACAGCTGCTCCTTCAAAACCTCAAGTAAATGAGGCCAGATTTGAAGATGTTAAGATGCACCCTAGAATTAAGATTACGATTCATAAAGATTAATCTTATTAATAATTATTATACTATAGTCATTATATAAATAAGATGTAATATAAATAACATGTAAACATGATAAAATATAAATATATAAATATTAATAATAAAGGCTAAGGCTTACTCCCCAATGCAACACATCTGTTACTCATCATTGAAAAATAACTTACTATAAAAAAATGATAAAGGCAAATATAGACGGGCCAGGTGTACCCCCAGAACAACTGCATCATCCTCCTCTATCCCTGCTCTTCACGTGGTGTGTTGAATGAGTGGGTTTACGTCTCGTTTCTCCGCACTCTGCCATGGTCAGGAACCTTTCTGGCCCTCTGGCTGGTACAGTGCGTGGCATGGAGACAATGCTAATAAAAAGTGTGACAAGTAAAGGATGCAAAGAACAGGAAGTAAGAGAGAGGCCAAAGGAAAACATGGTTGAGAAAAGGATAAATCCTCATTTAGGTGGATCACACTGTTTTCACAAATTATGAAAGCAATATACACATATTCATCTTTTAGAATCACCCAAGAGCTGAGTTTTTAAAAGATCATGCTGATATTTCCCAAGTGCAAAGCCAGCCTGGTTGATCCTCCATAATGTGTCTTTGGCAGGGGCCATAACTGCCTTTGCAGTGGGTTATGTGAAAGTCAATTGGGACCTCCTGGGAGAGCTGAGCCTGACGGTCTTCTCAGTGGTCAACGCCGGCTCCCTGTTTCTCATGCACTACACGACCAACATCTGGGCGTGCTATGCTGGCTACTTGATATTCAAGTCCAGCTATATGCTTCTTATAACCATAGCAGTGTAAGTATTACCAGCCATTTCTGCCTATCCCCAAAACTAAGCCCTGTTCTCTCTTCTATAGGCTTACAGTACTTTGGAGAACTTCCGAGGAATTTTAATTAATTGCAAAATTAAATGGTGACTACTTTGCATTAAATGAGATGCAATTCAGCCATCTTTTTATTTAACTGTTTGCCATCGGAATATCACTGAGTAGTTATCAAAGAAAGAAATTCCTAATGGGGCAAGTCTTGGAGGGAAATTGTACCTCAGGCACATAACTTTGTAGTAGAAGGTCTCTCTTTACCTTAAGCAAGTGCTGCCCATTGTGTTGGAGCATGTAGGTAAACACACCTTTGAAATTAGCATAACCACCTTCAAGAAAGCATGTAATCTTGTTAACGGTCCTGCAGTCCAATCCTGGCTTTGCTTCCTCTCATGTTCTTAGTTTCCTCCTTACTTTCAAATGCATGAAAGAAACTGGGGGGGGGGGGGGGGGGGGCGGAAATGCTCTTTGGAGAATTTGAGATCTTATTCCTATGTATATGTCATGGGTTTGGCTCAAGTAAACTCTTATAAAAATTCTCAAAAGAAAAAAAAAAAGAAATTTCTGTAGGTTCACAAACCAAGAGCAATGATATATTGTCAAGTTGTGGTTTTTTATTTCAAGCAATTTGCCACAACGAGGTGTCATGGAATCTGACTGAGAATGATTCGATTTAGGTTTCAGCCCCGATTTCACTTGGTTGTTTGAGTAATTCCAAGCATATTCTCGAAACAAAATATTCTTAGAAAGTTATAAAAAGTTGGATACTGAAAAGTGTAGGTACAAAGATTATAAGAAACTGAATTCCAGGGATCTTATTAAAAAAAAAAACCAATTAAAAACATTTGGTTGCACATCTAAATACAAAGAAAGCTGACTGACTATGTAAGAAATGTACTTTAGAAGTGATCAAAAAAGAAACATTTGAATTTAAAATCACATAAAGTATAGAAGAAAACTATATCATGTTTTGTTTTTTAATTTATGAAAAATATTTGATAAGCAATTGACAGAAATATAATCACCCTGGGAAAAGGTCATGAAAGGGAAGAGATGAAATTGTTAGCAAGTTTATTTTTTCCACTAAAATGTGTCAGTTTAACGAATTAAACTCATGCATCTTGAATTTCTTTTTTTAATGTGAACATTTTGTTAAGGTACGGTTGATTTATTTCTTTTCATTGCAAGACTATTCAGAACACAAAGCCTTTACCTGCTTTCCAAGAGGGAAGTCTAAATAACATACATCAGTCTTTCAGAAGTGTTTTAAGATTTTGAAATCTATATATTTATTAAAAATTAATTACAGGCTCAACTCTATAACCAGTCATGGTCTGGATCTTCCAAAAAATGATTCACAGCAAATTTTAAAACTCTAAATACAAACCATTGACAATAAAATGAATAACTCTCTAAAAAATTCCTCAGATTGGGTGTTACATGAATTTTTATAAAAATTGACCATAAAACAGTGTTTAAGTTCATATGCATCCAATATTCTAAGTTATGAGAACTTATTAGAACATTTAGGTTTAATTTCTGGAAGTACTACATTGGATAGGAGGAATTCGGTATATTTCCTACAACTATTTTAATTAAGCCTTTATCTATTTAAAAAAATCCCTTTCTTTGCTCTGCGTTTTGTCTGTACTGGAGGAGATTTAGGTAAGACTTGCTATTAACAAGAAATAAGCCAGTCAGAGAAAGACAAATACCATAGGATTTCATTTATATGTGGGATCTAATGAACACAATAAACAAAGTAGAAACAGTCTCAGACACAGAGAACAGACTGACAGTTCTCAGAGGGGAGAGGGTTGAGGGCTGGGAGAAAAAGGTGAAGGGATTAAGCCGGACAAATTGGTAGTCGCAGAATAGACACAGATGCGGACTGCAGCCTGGACCATGTAGCCAATAATGTCGAAACTGGGTCTGGGGCCAGGGGACCCTTAGGGACGCGGGGGAACCACCGTGTGGAGCGCATGGTTTTCCTGCCACTCTGCTGTACATCTGAAACTGGTGCGCAGTGGTACTGAATGCAAACTGTTTGGAAAATAAAATTAAACAAATAAATAAATATGTTTTAAATCCAAAAAAGGACACTGCTTTGTCTTTTTTTTTTTTTCAATTACAGTTAGATCAATTTCAGGCATACAACATAGCGATTAGACATTCATATAACTTACAAAGTAATCACCAGTAAGGCTGGTACTCATCTGACCCTATATATAGTATTGCAATATAATTGATGAAATTCCCTATCCTGTACTTTGCAGCCTGTGACTTTTTATTACTGCCAGTTTGTACATCTTAATCTGTTCCTCTTTTTCACTCATCTCCTCAAACTCCACCTCACCCGGCAGAACACTTTCTTTTTTTTGTTTTTTGCTTTGTTTTGTTTTGTTTTTGTCTTCTAAAGATAAGAATCCCATGTACGTTCATGTTAAAAATGTGTTCACTGTTTAATGATAGATTTCAGATTGCCGTCAGTCTGAGTGTGGAACGATATGCCCTGGTATTTGGAATCAACACCTTCATTGCCCTGGTGATTCAGACCCTTCTTACTGTGATCGTTGTGGATCAGAGAGGGCTCAACCTGCCGGTCAGTGTCCAGGTAAGCGGCAGCCCTCCTGTTCATGATCATTGGGAATGGAGACTAACCAGGTCCTCTCAAAGGATTTTATAACCTTATCGCCGCCGGTGTTCAAATTTCTCAAATTCCTTGACTGGGCAAATGTTAAGATCAGAAATTTCTTAATTACTAGACTAACACACCAAGTAGTTTCGAGCAACAATCACAGTAAATCAGCATTTATCTTTGGCTCCTAAAACAGCGTCAGGTAACATGTCATTTTGGCCCCAGATGTCTCCTCTTCCCCCCACCATCTAGTTCCAAGGTTTACTGAAATTTAACTAGGAGGCCCACCTGCCTGCAGACCCCTGTTCCCTGTTCCCCACTCCTGAGGGACTTTGAATGAGCTCAGTCTCACATTTTATATACGGATCTGAAAAAGGGGAATATAAGGTCGATAAAAAGTAACGTCAATGTCTAAAATTCATTACTGGAAACACTACATACAGCATTGTCCCATCCTCCAAACTGAGACGCATAGGTCAGTAGGATTTAGTATTTTTCCGCTATTGGCAATGTTAGCTAGAATTTGAACCATGCAACCCCGGCTTCACAGACCCACTCTTAGTTACTGTACTGCTTACACTTTCATACTCGGTTCTCCTAAGATGGCAGAAGGAAGTACTGTGCAGACCTAAATATCCCATGTTAGGATCCTGGGTCTCTGTTACTGCATAATCCAAGGAAATCAATGACATCACTATGAATAATCAATGTCAAAGATGGCCAGCTATTATGTGTGTCTAATTCTATTTGTTTTTCTACAGTTTTTGGTTTATGGGAGTTATTTTGCCGTCATTGCTGGAATTTTCCTTATTAGAAGCATATACATTATCTACTCAGCCAAATGCCAAAAGGAAGCGCGGAGTTCTCTTGTGAGTCAATGCACAAGAGCCACACAAGAGGGACCAAGGAATGTCATCTAATCTTATGTTACAACTACAGCCTCTCATCAAGAACTGTGCTGGTCACAATGTTATTAAGTGCCATAAATTGACACTCTTCACAAGTGCGGATTCCGATGAACCTTTTCAAAACCACAACAAAATCTCCGCTTTAGGCCTGTTATCTTTATGTCCAGCTGAACTGGATGCAGCCGACAGGGCCCAATAATCTCAGTTAAACAACCCACCTTGGGACCCCAGTGAAGAGCAGTGACTCAAAAATTCTGGTTTTGAGCACTTGAAAGGACATGCCAATGGCGTGGAAACAAACCAGCCACCCTGGGGCTCATGTTCCCCATTTGTGAGCAGAAGCGCTAACAGGACTGACCCTGTTTCCTGGCTCAGATGTCTGTTTTATCGTTTCGAAACAGGCAGCACGTGGAACACTTTTTGTCACATGAGTCATTTCCCTTTTTCTTCCATTGAGTGTATTTTTGTGTAACACAGTTCTCTGAGAGAATTATAAAGTTTGGTCCCATTTCTAAGGACTCCTCTCCAATCTTGGTAACTTAACATTATGAACAAGCTTTTATTTGATAGTATCACCATTTGATTTTTTTATGATAATTTTTCACATTGTGCCTTGCTGATCTTTATTGTTGAAACTCTACCTCAAGAATAATTCCAGACAATCCTGTGTGTCCAGAGAATGACATTCATGTCAATTCCTAGTGACCCAAGAAGAGACAATGTTCTTTCTTCCTATTCTGACCCGAGGTAGGTGTTTTACTGATACGTCAGTGTAATATCTGTCTAAAACAGAAAACTTGAACAGAAATTCCATGGGTTTCTACAAGTATTTGTAAATAAGAAAACACTGATTGGGGCGGGCACCTAATTTTTAAATGACAGAGACTGTATTAAATAAAATAATGTATGCAGAAATATTAAAAGCATTTCTCATTTTCTGATGAATCGTGTGAAAATCGTCTGAGCTTGTCTGCCCTTTGAAACTTCTATAGAGGATGCGTTGAGCAGTATGCCACCGGGAATAAAGAATGCTGATTCAAGGTTTGTCTTCCAAATATACTTTCCTCCAAATCCCAAAACCCAATCGCTGGACTAAAAATCCATCCCCAAAGCCAACTCATACTTAGTGGAGAAAACTAATGACAATCCTACTTATGTCAAAAGCAAAGAAGGGCTGACCACCGTTATCCTTCTCACTTAACTTATTGTGCTAGAGATATTAGCCAACACAACTAATCTATGAAAAAATACAACATGTTTCTTTTCTCCAGAACTAGTAAGGGTGATTCTAAATTTTACTTGGAAAAATTAACAAGGAAGAACCAAAACAATGCTTTTTTAAGTAGCAAAATAAGGTAACTTATTTGCAGAGAATAAAATCCTACTCTCGACTCTTAGTTACAGTAACATAGTCAGGAGCATGAAGAGATAATCCAATAAAACAATAGAAAATTCTGAATTAATCCTTAATTCACTTGAGATTTTTAGACTCTAATAAAGATAGAATTTCATACAACAGGAAGAAAAAAATGGAATATTTAATAAGATTAGAACAATTTTTGTTTCAAAGGAAAAACTAAGTAGGACCCTAGAATGCTAGAATAACTATCAATATGTAATTGTACATCTATCAACATGCAGCTGTAAAAAAATAAAACTACAAAGTACAGGAGGAAAACCTGGAAGAATTATTCTATAACCACAAACCTTTCTAAAATAAATGCTAGATGTCAAAAAACTAAACTTATGCGTGGAAGAAAAAACACTATAATCAAAGCAGGAACAACAAAAAAAATGGTAATCTGGGGAAATTATTGCAACTCATCAAAGCTACTTTCCCTAATTTAAAATGAACAAATACAGATCAGTAAGAAAAAGATCAACAATTTGATAGAAACACGGGCAAAATGTGTGAACACAGGATTCAGGGAAAGAGAAATAAAGACAACTTAGACACATAAAAGATGCTAAACTTAACTCAAGAGAAATGTATATTAAAACAACAGAGAGAGAGCATTTTTAACTGTCATGCTAGAAACTAATCCAACAGTGTGACAATACATTTACTCTCAGGGAATGGATCAACAGGTCGTCTCAAAGATTGATGAGTAGAGTATAAATTAGTTTGATTGCTACAAAAGAAAACTCAGTATTCTCAAGGTTACAAATATGTTTATCTTTCTATCTTTTCACCTATAAATTCCTCTGATAGAAATATACACTACCAATAAACTTGCATACCTGGTAACCAACTTGTAGAAAAGGTTTTTCATTGCATTGTTTCTAAGAATAAAGGATTTAAAACTATTTAAATTTTATTAAATGGGACAAGGAAAATGTATTCTGTTATACCCATATATTTACTTGTATTAATATTAACCAGATAAAACATGGGGAAGATCTTTACTCAGCTATAAAAGGCTCTAAATTATATTATTAAGTTGGGAAAAGTCAACTGCCAAAACAGTAATAGGTGTAATGACTCACCATTTGTGTAAAAGTAAGGTGAAAAAATATGGTATTGGCCTATGTACACATACTATGTTTCTGGGAAGACAGACAAAATTAATCCTAATTATTACCTGTTGTGAGGTAATGGGACCTATGGGGTAATGTCACCTTTTTACAGCTTTTGATGTTTGCACCATCTGAATGACCCATCCCCAAAATAAAACACTAATTTTTTTTAAATGTTTTAACCTCATAGGAAATAAATTAACACTAAAGAATGTTAAAGGAACGCCTTATTGAGACAGATCTCAAATGTTCTGTACGTGGGATGACACAGAAACACCAACAGGAACAAAGTTCACAGACAAATGACAGAAATAAGGGGCTAGACATGGCAAGAGCATAATCATCTTCGAGAAGAAACAAACAAGGTGGTAGGTCTGGCTTGTCTGGACTTGCCTCTTGCCTGGGACAACCATCATAATTGTGGTCTTTGTTTACAGAAACATTTTTACGTGGTGCGTGACCGGAGAAAATTTAACAACTTCTCCCTACAGCCATGGCTGGCATTCCCCTTTATTGCCAGAGTTTCTAGCTTTGCTCCGCTTGAGCCTGTTTTCAGCACGGCAGCGGGGAACTCTGCTAGAACATGAATCTGGCCGTGCCACTCCTGGCTCCTCCGGCAACCTTTCTTTTCACGTCAAGGTAAAGGGCCATGACCTCTGAGGCTATAATCTCCAAGGCCCTATGGGAGGAGGAGCCTTGCTGGCTTTAGCCTCCCTGCCTGTCCTGCTTCCCCATCCAGTGACACTGCTTTCCTTAGTGTGGCTTGGATGGGCCAGGTGCGCCCCAGCTCAGGGCCTCTGCAGTTGCTGGGGGTTTTGGCCATTGTTGTTGCCTGGAATCAGCTTCCCCAGAACATCTGCACAGCCAGCACTCTCACCTCCACCCTTTTTTAGCTCTTTCCTCAAAAGTAAATAGTAAACTGAAGCCTCCCTTTCTTGAATTTCCAATTTCTCAAGCTATTTCATAGCCCATTCCCTGCTTTACCTTTTCTTAGCATTATCTCAATGCACATCATTTTATTTATTTATCTTAGCCTCCCCGACTACAATAAAAGCTTTGTGAGGGCAGGGACTTTGCCTATTTTATCTACTACCATATCTCTAGCTCTAAGAATGGAGCATGGGGCATAAATAGTCACATGTTTTTTGAATAAATGGATGATTTCAATGAGATGATGTGTGTTAAAGTACTTAGACCTTGACTTGCATGAAATATTGAGATCTGGCTTCAGGAAGTTGCCCTGAAGACACATGAGATGTACTTTGACAAGTCAGCAGGGTCACAGGGCGTTTAGGGAACAGCCACACACCATGGTGGGCACTGAAATATCTGGGAGAATTGCAGTCTTCCAGGGTTGCAAAAGGGAGGGGCCCCCGGAGGCCTGGCAGTGGCCTGTCCGGTGGCCCTGTGCTTACACTGCTGTGACTACACAGTTGTCAGTCAACTTGTTCAAGAAAAGAGAAATCTCTTGCATGCACCCTGTTGCCATAACAGAATAAAAGAATCATTAAGGGTTATTGATTATATTTTATTAGGAAATCTCAGCAGTAGCTATGTGGTGACTGGAAACAATAGTAACAGAAAAGGTAAGAGTAATAGCAATATGTGCACACAGACATGGAGACGGGCAAGTACCAAGCAAGACAACCGCATGGATACCCATCAAGCAGAACCTCAGATTCCTGATCCGTGTGGCTAGCTAGGCTCAGTGAGGTGGCTGATGTTCACGTGTTGGTGTGAGTTGACATCCTTGTAATGGCCATTTCCTGTTTCTTGGGAATTGTTTTTCCAAATAAAAAGGTTTAAGAGCATTGGATTGAAAGAGAATTCAAAAACCAAAGATTGTGTCCAAAAGAGTAAGTCCCAGGACACCCAGCTGATAGCAAGTGGGGAGGTCTGGGAGCAGAAGCAGGCTGGCTGGCTGGAGGGAAGTCTTGTTCGAGGAGAGCAGGGCCCAGCATGTCTTAGCCCACAATCCAGCCAGCCTGCCTGGCAGCACACAAGCCACAAAGACAGCAGCGGTGGCAGCGGCAGCAGACCACGGGGACGCTGCAGCAGCCCCCACAGCAGCCACAGCAGGAGGGGCCGCATCTGGAGCAGCAGCAAATCTGGTAGCTTCTGCAGGTGGTGCAGCCGCCACAGCCGCCACAGCCACCGCCACAGCCACCGCATCCCATGGGGTCAGTAGAGAGGACTCGGGTGCAGTGAGGAGAGAGGACTCAGGAGGTGAGGGAGGTCTGGTGCCCCTCCTGTTGGGGGAGCTCTTGAGGAGGAGGATGAAGGAGTGACCCAGGACACATGGCAAATGGCTTCTTCCTGTTATTACCTGTTCCAGTATCTGGAAAACAATCTGAAGTCTTTCTCATTTACATCCTTACTAGAAATGTTGAGCTTAATGAGAGAATTACATTTTAAGAGAAATTGTTCTAAAATGTTGGAGGACCCACTCCCACATGAAGAACCAGGTCTCGTAGATTTAAAAACTCAGAAGTCCTCACAAACAAAAACAAGAAATGTGAATGCTTCTGACTCAGCTGACTATGGGGAGAAGAAAGGAAAAAAAATAGAGGTGTAAGTTGACATGGGTCCTCTCCTCTCCTAGGGTTCAACTTAAGAGTGTGACCCTGATTTCCCCCAATCCCATATGGAATGGGAGAGACCCCGGACATCCCCTGGCCCCATGGAGGTGCGGAGCGCAGGGCAGATGCTGCT